ATCTATCTATTGGAAAAACATTGGGCAGATAATCTAGGGTGATTATTCTCTGGCGTATTATATTTCCAAAGTGACGACCTCAAAACAGTACAAAGAAAAGCTAAATAACCATTAGCGCAATACCCCCGTTAAGTTCACTACAAATACCAGATGATGCAGTTATATTGCCGTAGTGTTTGCATCCTGTCGACAGCCATCAGTGGATTCCGGTTTAAACTGGATCACGATGAAAACGTAGGCGAGGAGGGTACCAATGATCTGTGTCAACAAAGAAGCAAAGTTTATTCATTTATAGTTTGTTTAAAGCCACAGGCAGCAATGTACCAACTATGTGATGGGAGTCAGGAAGAAATCGAGCATTGACAAGACAATCCAGTGACTAACATCTTGATGGATTTACGATGATATGAATCAACCAAGTCGGCGAGCAAGGTCTGCTGACATGTGTCATCTTCCTAAGGCAAGAGAGTTAACTGACTATAAAAGTCACATTTCCACCCTTGCTGAACTAGGCTGGTATTATGGAGTTACATTTTGGGTGGAATAACTAGTCTGTGCATAGTCTAGTCAAATTCGCGCACCGAAATCGAAATCCAGTTCAGAAGCTGTCGTGCAGATTTCGGTCGATTGCAGGATTTGCAAAACCTCAGCACCGCCAACTCGTTGTCAGCAGATATTTTCCAAATCTTTTCATGTTTTTTTATCAAGGTGTTCGCGTGATTTCATGTACTTCCTGATGTAAGACCCGTTTTATCACAATATATAGATCGTGATTATCGATCAGAGCGTCTTGACTGGGTGCCGCCATTTTGTTTGAAACAAATGCAAGTGATGGAATCTGATTGGTCCATAGGAGAGGCTCAGAAGGGACGTAACTCATAATAACCACTGGTTGCGCTACGATCGAGCCAAGTAATTCCAGCCTAGTTCGGCAAGGGTTGAAACTGGACTTTTACAGTCAGTTAACTCTCTTGCCTAGGGAAGATGACATGTGTCAGAAGCTAAGTAATAGGGTGACAAGTACTCTTTTAGGCTGTAACTGATTTTCTGTAAATGGCGTCAGTGGAGAATAGTATTATGTCTTATCTTAAGAGTGACAAATGTCAGTGTTGACAAATATCCTTTCACCTATATTTATTCAACGTTATTGTGTCCTCAGTGGTGGTCATTAGGCCTAAAGCACTAGTTCCAATCTGACGTTGAGACAACATGTTGGCGAACAGTGTGACCTGGGTGTTCATAAGAAAGATATGATAGTGACAACACAGGAAACATGTTTGTTCAGGAAGGTAGCGTATGGTTATGATATTATAAATAAAATAAAACTGATAATATTACATTCAAATATGCTTGACACAATATAATTTATCATAACATGTACACCCCATTCACAATTGTCTTTCCCAGCACAACTTTTTGTCACACAATAACCCGTTAAAAAGACCCTGGATCCGCCTCTGACAGATCATATATAATAATATATCCCGTATAATCTTTTTCACATTGTAATTTACCCGAAAAGCTTCCTAAGGCAAATTGAAGTATATATTTCGTCAGTGTATTTGGAACATTTTCAATTTTTTATATCAACAAAATGTGTGTGGTGTAGTTGATGGTGTATATTAATCATCATTATATCAATATTGATATTAAATATTTCTCTCTCATTTTCTTAATTTAATTAAACAAGTTCCTTTAGTTAACCTGGATCTCTCTCATAGGCATAACCATCAAAATGCAAGATAAATCGTTGTTATTTTTCGCTTCGAAATTTGAAGAGATGACACTTGGTACTTTTTTATAATGAATTTGTACAACCCCACATAAGACATTATGTTGTATATAAGAAATAACGGCAATGCTCGATGTTTATAACAGCTGTCGTCTCGCTGGTCGGTTTATGTGCTGTATATAATTTTGTTGGAAAATTGTTTCCCATGCTCTTATATATCTTAAAGTTCCATTTGAATTGATCACTGCTTGTGCTAGCTCTGTAATCAATAAGCTGGAGTGTCACTTCCTCTTGACTTCGAGGGTAGATTGATGTGGTCTGAGATATTGGTTAAATGTCAAGGTGAATTGTTTTAACTGGACATGGACATGCGCAATGACAAACTAGTGACAAACAGAAAAGCATATTTCTCTACTAAGAGAAAAGGGTCCGAAGTCACCACCTGCCGCTGTGAATTCACCTCAAGTTCAGTTGACCAGCAATTCATTAAAGACTTGAGTCAAACAAGTAGTCACTCGGGGAGGTCAATACATTCCAGTGACCTCAAAATCCATTCGGGAGATACAGAACCATAACGTTTTCTGTGGTCTATCCAACACATTAAGAGGTAACGATGGTAAGTTTTAAACCTCTTTTTTTTTAAGGATAATTTTTTGAACTAGCAATTGATCATTACAAATCCATTATCCCTTTCTGGTTCCTTTCTGCTCCATGAATAATGCCATCTTAAGGTCTGTAAAACACCCTGTAAATATTTTGTACTGTGTATTCAGACAAGATTTTAGGGTCAATCAAATCACCTTTCTGTGGGAGAAGTATTGTTTGACCTTTGCAGAACCAAGGTGGAAATCCCCTGTATCCACAAGAGAATTTAAACAGTGAAGTAATGGTGTTGGGACACATGGGAACCAATTTCATTAAAATCAGATCTTAGTTCTCGCAACCGCTAAACAAAGATCTGAGCACATCCCATTAGGGGTCACGTCAGAACGACCTTTCAACCGACCAATCAGAACGTCGCTTACCTGATCATGAAAGTGACAGTCGAAATGTGATTTCTAATCATGCAACCTCGAAAACTTTAACACTGGGTGTTGCGAACGATAATTACGGCTTTAACGACTGAATACATATAATCTAGACCATCTATTAGCCATTCCCGAAACTTCTTTCGTTCAGGTTTCATATGTTTAATAGAGAATTTGTCAGAATATGTTTCGAAACGTAGTCGCCAATTTGAAATCAGTGCCGTAAAGCACGAGAAAGCTGCCTTCTGATTGGCTAATGTCGACTTCTTGTCAGTCATTCCACTGGTCGGTCAAAGGTCGCGCAAGGACGGTCTAACATGAGCCGTAATGGGATGTCCTCAGATAATTTTTTAGCGGCAGCGAGAACTAAGATATGATTTCAATGAGACCGCATGGTGACAGTTTCCAAAACCGGTTTCGAATACCATCATGCCCTTGCCCCGTAACAGACTGGGACTTTTGAACTTCCTTTTTCATTCATTTGGGTGTAATGAAACACAACAATGGATACTTTATTTTGTCATGTACATTATCATTGTAATCCCCTACAAATGCATGGTCCCCCAAGGTTGCAGTTGCCGGGTACAGACCACAACTGTTTCCAAAACCTTTCACTGAAATACATGGTGGGTCTTTCCTCATTACTGCCGTTTGTTGCATTTCATTACCTTTTAACTGTTTTTTATTGGATTTGAACAGTTTATTTTGGTTTTTGCAATTATTTTCTTATCCCACTTTCTTTTTCTTTCAGTCCCAACCTTTAACTTTGCCTTCAAGGAATCAAGACTTTGATTAAGAAATTTCTCTTTTGTTGTCTGTTTTGTTTTTCATTTTTTCCAAATTGATGTTTGGCGTTTTGACATTGGTTAAAGCACAGTTAAATCCAGGACTCCTGGCATTGTGATGTACAGACCTCTTAAACTTTCTTTATTATTATGTACAGATTAAAATAACAAATGCAGCAAAGAGAGTTTGGGTGATCCTGGCACAGTCAGGCTGGTCAGGCTCATCATCAGCTCAGAGCCCTTGCCCCCTCTACACGCTACCCAGACAGCGATTTGGACTTCTCCCAGGAAGCACTGCCTAGTCAAACTCACCCAGAACTTTTCAGAGAATGTGAAGACTCCCCAACACTGCAACCTTCTGCATAACCCAGATTGTCAGAAGGGCTGTATTCCGGGTAGCAAACCCAGGTACTCTCCCAATGTCAGTCACCAGATTGGGAGGTACCAACCCTAAGGCACCGAGAACAATGGGAAGTCGGACAACTTGGTACTTGAGATGCAAGCGTGACATTTCGAAAACGAGGTCTGCATATTTGCCATGTTTTTCGAGAATCTTTTCTATATATTTGTAAAACTCCATGTGAAGCGACGCACTTTGTTTTATTAATTTATGGTTAGATTTTTCAGGTTAACCTTTGCTAAGGTTGCTTTGACTGTCTCATATGTGTGTGCGTGCGTGCGTGTTTCCAGGATTAGTCTTCATGACCATGCATCAGTCAACAAGTACATTTAAATCCCCAGAGGTAAAACGTGGAACATGGTGAGGCGGGACAATCATCCTTCAGAGAGATTAAAAGCTGAACAATTTATTTGTTTGAGACAGCTGACAAAAAGCTTGAATATTGCTGAGTGTGGCGTTAAACAACAAACAAAGAAAACATATGTTTGAGAGTCATGTATTGTGCCTAAGCTGTAAAAAAACTTTGATGGACAGTCTATAAATGGGATTACCTCAACTGATTATTCAATCAAGCTATATGACATTATTCTGTGTTAGAAAAGCGCCAATTCCAGTTATCGAGTGTGTGAGTTGGGTTTAACGCCGAGCGTGTAATCTTAATGTGGGAGCTAAGCCCTATGTGATGCAGGTCTAAGACGTTTACCACTTTGGTGAAACCCAAGAGCACGACTATCGTGCTGACAAACCTCCAAACATAATAGGGATGAATCTATTTATTGATTTTCCGGGAGCAGAACAATGATAAAAATATTCACATGTGTATGTTATTGGACTTATAGGAGTCTTTGTAGGTATTGAGATTAATCTGTATACATTCGGAAACCATTACAACAATTTTATACATCACAAAGCACGGTTACTGAGCCTCAGTGATACATACAAATAATTGTCATCACTCTTTTACCTGTTTTGGCAGATAATGAAGTGTGATCAGTGAAGCTAAATAGTTATTCGAGTCATAACAATACATTATAAAGTAAAGCTAAAAAGCCAGTAGCGCATAAAACGTAAAGTTCACTTCAAATACGAGTTAATGCAGTTATATTGCCGTAGTGTTTGCATCCTGTCGACATCCACCAGTTGATTCCGGTTTAAACTGGATCACGATGAAAACGTAGGTGAGGAGGGTACCGATGATCTGTGTCAACAAAGAAGCAAAGTTTATTGATTTATTGTTTGCTTACCACCCACAGACGAGTATTACAGCTACATGACGACGGTCTGTAAATAATCGAGTCTTGACAAAACAATCAAGTGACTGACATCATGAGTATTAATTTACACAATCGGGATACTATTACATAAATCAACCAAGTCGGCGACCTGACCGACCTTTCCAAGACCAATTCTAATCCGGACCTCCACGGGCGAGAATCAAAGTAATGGTATAACAATAATTACTCATTGGTTTTTGGTTTGGTTTGTTGTTTAACGCCGCACTCAGCAATATTCCAGCTATATGACGGCGGTCTGTAAATAATCGAGTCTGGACCAGACAATCCAGTGACTGACATCATGAACATCGATCCACGCAATTTGAATCGATGACATGCATCAACCAAGTCAGCGAGCCTGACCACCCGATCCCGTTAGTCGCCTTTTACGACAAGCATAGTCGCCTTTTACGGCAAGCATGGGTTTTTGAAGATCTATTCTACCCCGGATCTTCACGGGTCAATTACTCATTGGGCTGCAGTGAAGCTACGTATGAAAATTCAGTAATAGGTTCCTGTGGAGAATATAGAATTGTACCTTATCTTATGATTTGGCAAATGTCATTATGAATATATACCTTTTGACCTATATGTATTCCACGTACCGTTAAAATAGTGTCCTTCGTGATGGTCATTAGACCTAAGGCACTGATTCCAATCTGACGTTGAGACAACTTGTTGGCGAACAGTGTTACCTGTGTGTATACATGAGAAAAATATCCTAGAGTCATGCATTTCATCACAATATATATTGCTTATATCAGCACGAAACGTGTGTTCAGTAAAGTAGAGTGAGGTTCACAGTCGACTATGGCAAGGGTTTTGTCGCTTTATTTGCTAGATGATATCCAATTTAACAAGGCCAATACGAGTTGTCGGAAAACTATATTAAGCATTTGTGATTTGTGTTTCAGTGATAAAAAACGCCATCAATATTGGCGAATGAGTTTAAGTTTGATGTACATGCCTTAACCAGATGAATTTGCTTCATACAATCTTGATCAAAAGAATAAACCAGTTAAAAAAGTAATTCATATATTAATAAAATGTCTGCGTCCAATAGGCCAATGCATGACTATCTCGCGCATATCTCCTCCAATGATTGAAATGGGCTTAAGAGTCTAAATAGATGAGTAAATCCTAGCATATTAAAACAAGTATCTTGAGGAAAAAAATGCCCAAAGCCATTATTCATAGCCATGAGACGTTAAAAACCTTTAGTGTTCGGTTGATTCATAGCGTTCGCCGTGACATGAACAGACAATGACGCCGATGATCACGTTGGATTTGTGCCCAGTGGCCTCACACATATTCTGGGGTATTGTATTGTTGGCCATGGCATTATGTGCGGCCGGAGGTGAGCATTGACGACTGGTGCAAGATGACTACAGTCCGTTTGGCTCCAAATGAGAACGACAAATTGCAAAATAATTATGACTGAGCAAACCCAACTCAATATTGTGCACGGAAGGGTCATTCGGAACAACCTACTGACACCCTTTGGTGTCCTGTTTGCAAGGCATGTGAGTCGACGTCTTGTCAAGATATACAACGGTCCGTTTGGCTCCTATTCCAAAATATCTCAAAATCGGGAAAAATCTATTAAATGTCAATACGGTACAGCAATGAATACCCTGTACCCTGTACCAACAACATCTATTTTTATTCCCACCACTTGGAATAGTTGTTTAAGAAACTATCATGTTGTTATGTGTACAAGTTTACATCTTGAACGAAGCGGATCACAGCGGTAGGAGGGACATCGCAAACACTCACTGCACTAAGCGCTACTGAGCTGATGTGAAATAGCTGATATTTAAGGTGTATGATTTCTGTCGGTGTAAAGCAGAAAGAGGAAAACCTTTTTTTGCCATTAATAAAAACTTGAAACGAGCTTCTAAAGCTCTTGGTATGTCTCCTAACAAGCTGAAAAATTGTTGTCCGTCGACGGGACTCCAGCAATCAGGCGAAGCAGGTGGGGAACATATTAAAACCATGTTTGTGTGATAAATTAGACAGTTATGAGAACAATCAAGACATACGTGCAACTGTTAAACTGCATTCAGAAAATAAATACATGTCACTTAGACTCTTGAAGAAATAACTTGAAACTGAACATGCTTTAATTGTTACAAAACAGTTATGGCAACTTTTGCATCCATTTGGATACAGATGCAAAGAGATAAGTGGTGAAAACAGGGCTGTGTCATGTGAACGATCTGACATCCTTCGTCTCATATTCTTCAAACCATCAAGCCAAAACGTGAAAAGTATATGTGCCTGTTTTCCAAGATGAGACGTGGGTAAATGCCTCTCAAACAGCCAGCAGGGACCGTGGGGTAGCCTAGTGGTTACAGCGTTCGCTCGTCACGCCGAAGACCCGGGTTCGATTCCCGACATGGGTACAATGTGTGAACCCCATTTCTGTTGTACCCGACCGTAATATTGATAAAATCGTCGGAAAACCATACTCACTCACTCACTCAGCCAGTGGGTACTCAGTGGGGACTGTAAGTAGCCTGGGTGAAAGTTATCAACTGGATAAGGTGAAAGTTTGCGAAAGACTTATCGTTCTCCATGGTGGCGGTGCTAGTCAGGGTTTTTCCCCAGGCTGTGACCTCGTCTTTCGAGTCAAAACCAACAGGGACAACCACACAGACATAATCGACTTCCCATTCGGGCTCACGACAGAACGACCTTTCATCCGACCTTTCATCCGACCAATCAGAGCGTTCGCTTACCAGATCATGAAAGCGACAGTCAGAATGTGAAATCATTTCTAATCATGCAACCTCGAAAACGATAGTTACGGGTTTAACGACTGAATCCATACAATCTAGACCATCTACACTCTTCAAAATAAGAAAAGCACAGGTAGTATTTAGTTCATTGAACCTGACTACACGAAAAATCCGGTATATAAATTGGATATCTTATTGGGAAAAGTTGGTGACCTGATATTCGACAAACGGTGCGTCAAATCATTATCGATTTGCAATGTCTGAACGGCACTGTTTTCACACTTGTTCAAAATCTCATGGAGGAAAACAAAAAAGCAAAATGCACGTGCATGTTATGGCATTCGTAACTCTTGGTAGTGGCTATAAAAAGGCAAGCGTAAGCCAATAATTTGTCATTCGATCATCAACATTTTTCAAGTTCGAAAATGCTGAGACTCTGTGCTGCCGATCGGAACATCGCCATAGGACGTTTCCAAAGAAGTGAATCGCAGTCTTCTGTTGCACGCCACTTCAACGTCCACCACAGCACCATTTGCCGCCTTTGTGTCCGAAACACAGTTCAATTCCACTGTAGACCGTCCGAGAACCGGCCGACCAAGAGTTACCACACCTGCACAGGATCACTACATCCGACTGTTCCACCTTCGTCATCGTCATCGCAATGCCACAGCTACGGATACAGCAGGACGCATCCTACACCACGAGATCTGACTTGGTTGTACTTTAGGGAAATTTGACAGCAAATCGCTACATGAGTCAAATTCTTCAACTTCACCTTCTTCGAATCATTGACCGCCAGACGAACCTGTTTGAACAGGACAACGCACCACCGCACACAACTCGTGGGACACCTCTGGGATAAACTCGATCGACGTGTACGTCAACGTCGGAACACGCCGCAGACATTCGCACAACTGGCCAACGCGTTACAAGCAGAATGGCGCAGAATTCCGCAGGAGAGAATTCATACACTTATCCAGTCAGTGACGAGGAGATGCAGAGCCGTGAATGCTGCCTGGGCGGTCACACGAGATACATCGCAACCTTGGGGCCTTATGTTACATGACAATAAACAGTTTTCAATGGCTTTGTACAACGACAACGTGTGACTATCGAGCTCCAAACTTGCCTTTAATCGCCTTTATCAGGTACAATAAATGTACTAAAAATCTACCTGTGCGTTTCTTTTTTGGAGAGTGTATTAGCCATTCCAGAATGTTCTTTTGTTCAGGTTTCTCATTTTTAATCGAGAATTTGTCAAAATATGTTTCGAAGCGTAGTCGCCAATTTGAAATTAGTGCCGTAAAGCACGAGAAAGTTGCCTTCTGATTGGCTAATGTTGGCTTGTCAGTCCTTCCATTGGTCAGTCAAAGTTTGCGCAAGGTCGGTCTGACGTGACCCGTAATGGGATGTCCTCAGATCTTTGTTAAGCGGAAGCGAGAACTAAGATATGATTTTAATGAGATTGGGTGAATATGTATGATAATCCCTGACTTCAGCTATCCCCACTGTATTTTTGTATTTGATACTGACCCCTGCCATCATATTATATAGTGTTATTGACTATTGTACTACCACTCCATTATTTACTGCCTTTGTAATTTCTGTGCAGTAATTGGTATTGATTTGTAAACCAAGCTAATTTTTGTAATACATTTCTTGATTGTATACACACTTAATTGTGTTGGTTGTTTGTTGGTTTCGTACTAGGTTCTTTTACGTACATATTTCTGGGTGAACATAGTGTTTCAGTTTGGGAATCGACACCTAACAACACAAGGAACTGGAAAGGGCCTAGTACGATCTCGGCGGTGGGTTTAAGGCTGAAATAGTTAGAAAACGTCAGTTTCGAATATGAGAGTAGATTCTAGCGGATTGAAAGACGAAATTGGCAAAGTGTGGGTCAGAAATGAAACCTGAAAACAGGAAATTTGTGGTTACTGAGAAAGTCATATATGTTGTTTGTTTTTTTGGTTATTTTTTGGGGGGGTGGGTGGGGGGGTGGGGGGATGGGGTGGGGTGAACAATTAGCCGTCATATAGCTGGAATATTGCTGAGTGCAGCATTAAACAAAATAAAACAAACAAATAAAACAAACAAAACTAATCAGGTGAACAATTGACTTGCCTCCGCGTGTATTTGCGCCTGTGCCATCGGGTCAGGATATGCTTTTCGTGGTATCGTCACTGTTTTATAGATTCACGAACACATGCTCATGATATAGTTGGAATCGTACAATCGATCTGGAAGTCTAAAGGACAGTGGTCTGTTCGGTGGGCGTGGCTTATTATTCTACAATTCCTTGGGATATAAATGCAAAAGAAACTGACTATCAGACTGCAGGAATAACAATGAAGAAGCACAAAAATGAAATATAAGAATATAATTAACTTATCAAATACGATAGATCATATTTCAAGGTTTATTATACACCTAATTAAGGTCGCATAGATTACATACTTTTAATAAAATACAACTGCCTTTGTTTTATATATAAGCATATTAGGTGATTTGTGTAAATGTATTGTTATAATATTTTCTTACCAGTCCAATTACTCTATCTGGCATAGTTCTCCCAGCCAAGTCATGCAGAATATTCAGAGGTCGGTGTGCCTGAATCCAAACATTCTAGTTATTCCATTTAAAGTAATAATTGAAAACAGTTTCTAATAACACATTTTAACTCACAGAAAATCGGATGACATAATTGGTGGAATGTAACGAAGCAACTGGTAGTCCCAAGGTAGCCAAGGTGTTAAAATTCTTTGATGGTATCATGTCCATTCCTCTTTTATATTGGATTCCAAAGCTCCATAAAAATCCGTACAATAGAAATACCACACAATCCCTGCATCAAAGATTAAACTAAATCCTTAATACAATCAAGAAAAGACTTTGTTTTATGTGAACAGAATACACTGCGATGTCATGATAAAGGTCACAGTTGGGATCGTCTAGGTATTGGTAATATGAATTGATAACTTTACCATCGTCGTGGAAACCCCGCTACGCTCAAATGTCTAGACAAATCAATCCTAGTACCACTGTCTAATCATATAGACATCCCATATGTGTCTAATGTAGTTTAAGTGTACATTTTTGACAACAACATTCTTACACTTACCGCTTCGTGCAGCCTGATACCAATATAGGTGAGAGCGATGAGATGCAGAGTGGACATGTACACAGCACATCCGGCGATACTCAAGTTCGCAAAGGACTTGTCGTCGTTGATGACGCTGTACAGGCAGAAACACACGCTGAGGAAGGAGCTGACGTAGCCAGCAGCCACGTGTCTGGACATCAGGGAAGACACATGTTCCACAATGTCAGTTAACGAAGCATGGTAACCTCGGATGTCCTCAATATCCTCTTCTTTGACGGACCCTTCAGATGCCCTTCTCAGTCTAATTGTGCAACTATCATACTCGTAGGTAAGAAGAAGGGAGATGGACAAGAACAGAAGTAATATCGCATGGTTTAGCAGAGTGGTACAGCCACCAATTATCGACGCCAAGGCGAATGAAGGCCAATAGTATTCACTGTATATTTCACTTATTATTCTTGCATCGAATCCACTGGCCACACAGCTCAAAACCGCAAGGATCACAATACTTACACATGCCCTTTTCACCCTCTGCCTCAATGTAGTGTTTGAAACACAACTCTTAAACTTCAACCGTGTTTCACAGAGACGTTCGCAGAATATGCGTACCTTGTTGTGAATGTTTGTACTGAGACACCAGTAGGCTAGAGACAACATAGTAACAATGTGATTTGCTATGGTAAGACTTGTATCCGTGAAAGATGCAGCTTCCGAATATAAAGGTATCATCTGGATACAAAACAGTATGTAAAATATGCACACCAAACTTGAATATATCCGTGAAACCACCAACGAGGCGGTGAACCTTTTTGCTGACTTCGACTGCTGATAGTCCCATGATAACCCGGACAATGCCATGAGTCTCTGGACACTTGTCAATGTTTCCTGTACATCATCTGTATCACTGAATGTATGAACGGAATTTTTGAAAATCTTTAACATCTTTGACAGAATGGATAATAGATATATGTTGGGCTCTCTTTGCAGGCTAGACCTTCATATGGTTCTGTTCTAAACTAAATGTTACCAGTGTTAGTCATAGTATCCATGACAATGCATCAGTCAACAAAGTATTCCGAACGTATAATGAAATCCCTTAGAGGTTCGAGCTAGGAATTGGTCAGGCGAGTAAGCCAGTGCTATTCAGCGTGATTAAACACCAAAACATTTATTTGGTTGAGAGTTGGCCTATGCTGTAAAAGCATTTAATGGACAGTCTATACATGAGATTGATCTGCTCAATCAATAAAGCTATATGGCATTCTCAGTGAAATGTGAAATGTTCTGTGAGTATGACATCAAACATGAAGTTATATACAAATGTGTACAGTTTTTGCCAGGTAGGAAAACGATGAGTGTGTCAACTACATTTTTTTATGTGACGTTGTGGAACACTGCCTTCTGTAATAAGGTTTAATTGCAGATGTATTGATCTTAGTGTACAATTGCGGGTCTATGATGCCATTAAAATGTAGAGAGAGACAGAGAGACAGACAGAAATAAGGAAATACATTGGAGATTTAACAGTTATTCCAGCCATCATTCCATATTCATTCCCCACTAAATACTTAGCTATAACTGTTTTGTAGGGGAAAACAATTTGGGATGTGATTTTCTTTGGGACCGAATTTCGTATTAAAACGGTAACTTGCAACGAATGTCTGTTATTCCATGTACGGCGAATTATAATTGACGATAGTTCATTATTTCAGGATGCGTCAGCTAAATGTGAGGGGAAAGTCCAAAGTGAATCAAGTCGTTTCTGCCACAACGATTCAAATGGAAATAAAAGCAATAGAATATAGAACATCCACACGTAACACGAAGACAACGACCTTCACTTTGCTGGCTACCGAGTTGAACAGAAGTTACATATTTACTGTAATCCTTCGAGCATAATACCAGAATGACAAACATGTTATAAAGAAGTCCCAGTGGAGCTTCGTGGGTGGTAGAATAGGTTCGTGTAACTACAGTCTGCAACAAAAGGTTAGACATGGTTACAGATTAGGCTGATAAGGTGTCTACAACAGGTCATTATTCCAGCCCCTGCGTCTTGCCGTCCGTCCTTCCGAAGACGTTTTTAGTGCGACCTATAACTCATAAACTACTGCATAGATTCATTTTAGACTTTCGAAACCATTAAGAGAGGTGCAGTGCGAAGTTAGATTTCAATATTTAGAATTTTGTTTTACTGACACATTTGTACTGCTGCATGGATTCTTTTCAACTTTAGGGAACAGTTTCCGTCCGAATAGAAAAGGTGTAGTGCAAAGTTAAATTTGGATATGTGGATTATCTGTGAAAATACGAACTGTTTTGAACTTAGAATTTTGTTTACTTCAACATTTGTCCGACCTATAGCTTAAAGATTACTTCATGTGCTCTTCTGCTATTTGGGGTACATTTTCCTTATTAACAGTAGAGGTGCAGTGCAAGATTATATTCCGATAAGGGGGTCTTCTGAGAAACAATCGCTTCCTTCGTGTTTTGAACGTCGAAATACGTTGGAGTCGAGGTCGGGGGTATAAGTGAGTCGTGTTCACATTTTTTTGGGTTAAATTAATATTTGTTATATTAATATCTGTTTTGGCTCTGTCAAATCAAACGACACGTATTCCATGAATCATAAAGAATGTAGCATGAAAAGAAGGGTTTGCTTTCACAGAGGGTTTCTCGTCCCGTCTGTTCCATTCTGACTGGCGTTTCTGTTGTTGAGTGAGTGGATGTCGTTTTTGCCATTTTTAGAAATATTGAATACGAATGTGTTGGACATCAAAGTTTCATATGCTGTCTAAATATAATCTGGGGATTGAAACATATGGGTTGATGAACCAATGCTTAAAACCCATCTCCAACTGACGCTAAAGTATTTTGTTTGTTGCTTTCCGACATTCATACAACTAAACACATATGCGAGTGAGTGAGTGAGTGTGGTTTTACGCCGCTTTTAGCAATATTCCAGCAATATCACGGCGGGGGACACCAGAAATGGGCTTCACACATTGTATCCGTGTCGGGAATCGAACCCGGGTCTTCGGCGTGAAAAACACATATGCACATGCATCCCGTTATTCTGCTAACATCGTGTATTTGCTTGTGGCTTAAGGGCGTCTTTGTAGGCATATATCTATTTGTAAACATTCGGAGCCCATTACACCAATTTAAAACTTGACAGACGTCACAAAGCACTGTTTCTGATTTTCGGCGATCCTTCAATTAACTTTCACCAACACTGCCTTTAGGGCAGGTAATGGTGTGTAATTGTTCTCTGGTGTCTGCTCTTAATATGTCTGTTGAGGCGATGTTAAAATATCACAAAGTAAAGCTGACTAGCCATTCGTGCAAAATCAAATACGAGTTGATGCAATTATATTGCTGTAGTGTTTGCATCTTGTCGACATTCACACGTTGATTCCGGTTTAAACTGGATCACGATGAAAACGTAGGTCAGGAGGGTACCGATGATCTGTGTCAACAAAGAAGCAAAATTAATTGATTTATAGTTGGTTTAAATCCACAATCAGCAATATTCAAGTTACACGAAGGCGACCTGTAAATATTCGACCAGACAATTCAGTGATTGACATCATGAGCATTGATGTACGCATTTGGGATACCATGACATGAATCAAAACCAAGTCGATCTCAATAGTCACGATAAGCTGGCTGAAGATCAATTCTTACCCTGATCTTCACGTGTGAAAAGAAACGTAATGGTATAACAAAGGGTAATTTGAATGTAATGAAGCTACGTTTAGAAATACTGTAATAAGTTTCACCAGAGAAGAGAATTGTGTCTTATCTTAAAATTTACAAATATCTCCAGAGCTATATGATTTCAACGTACCGTTAGGATCGTATCCTTCGTGATGGTCATTAGGCCTAAAGCACTGATTCCGATCTGACGTTGAGACAACTTGTTGGCGAACAGCGTAACCTGGGTGCACAGTTCGTAAGAGAAATATGATAGTGACATAGACAGAGGTGTGTTCTTTCAATGTGGTCAGATGTATGTATTTAATACGAATATAACGCAATGTATAACCACTGGTTGTCATCGACCTGGTGGCGGACAGGAAATAACGCGTCCAAGCTCGATGTTTATAACAACCACCTTCTTGCTGCTAGGTTATAAAACACACACACACACACACAAACACACACACACACACACACACAAACACACACACACACACACACACACACACACACACACACACACACACACACACACACACACACACACACACACACACACACAATTGGTATGACATGGGAGGGAGTTTTGCATATTACTTGCCGTTTATAACTATTTTAAATTTTTACTGTCGTATGTAAATAGACAGACATCTATGCGATTCAGACTATAATTCGACTGAATGTAACAGAATGATACTTCAAATACATTAAACGTTGACAGGTATTAATAAAATGTTATACAACGGCCTACATTTAGAATTCAGGGTCTGTTCCACATAGATATCGTAGCGCTTAGGTTATCGTAACTCCTGTACTTAACGTAGACTAACGACTGTCGTTGCGCTACGATCGCCTTGTGGAACGGGGCCTTCTACCTCAAAATTAATAAAAACACGTCACAATACCCTTTGATGATATTTTGTTAAATTTTGTTGCAAGACACGCTGGCGGAACAAGGCCATGTGACGGCAGTCTAGCAAAAGGCAACAGGGTTGTTGTGGCCATCGTTGTAGCTCCTCTCAGTGATCTATCAACTCTACACGTATTGTCATTGAATAATGCCAGGAATGTTGAGAGTTCTCAAATAAATACTTCAAATGTTCGATTGGCATTACTTAGAAGTTGACGGAAGACAAATTAGACTCAATTGATGGATAATATTTTTATCAATAACTGTAAAGGTGACGTTACAGTGTAGATCCTTGTACCGTTGACAAGAGCAGCTGAATAGTACATTGTAGGTGGAGGTTTGTAGGTTGGTTGGTTTGTTGTTTAACGCCCCACTCAACAATATTCAAGCTATATGACGGCGGTCTGTAAGTAATCGAGTCTGGACCAGACAATCCAGTGATTTACATCATGAGCATCGATCCACGCAATTTGGATCGATGACATGCATCAACCAAGTCAGCGAGGCTGACCACCCGATCCCGTTAGTCGTCTTTTTATGACAAGCATTGTCACCTTTTAAGGCAAGCATGGGTTGCTGAAGACCTATTCTACCCCGGAATCTTCACGGGTATTTAGGTGAAGGATTGACAGTAACAACAATGGCATTCATGGGGGGATAAACCAGAGTAGGTTAAGTAATGACATCAGAACAATAACGTAACAACATGATGGACAGAGAACATATGATGAGGAAGGTAATAAGATAGGAAGCAAATTTAACAGGATAAGTATACATAGGTGGGGTGATGACTGCTTAATGAGTTCATAGTATGCGGATATGATGAAAGAGACTTGATCGATGTTCTGGCGGCCAATGTTGACTGCTTCTTTTAGTTCCCTTTCATTGAAGTCAAGGCGGTTGTTGGACAGAGGATTTGGACGTTTTCGCCGCTGATGTTGAGATTGGGGTAGTCGCTGATATGGTCTGAGATGGCTGATTTACTCTCTGATTTTGTGATGTTTGATTCTGGTGTTGATTGGGCGAGATGTTTCACCTACGTAGGATTGTCAACAGTTATAGGCTCTTGGCGTGTGGTCCTGTTTCTGCCGTTGGCTCTTAGTAGGGTATTGAGAGCGGTGGAACTGGTGTGTAAATATTGGCTTACTGTTTGAAGAGGCAGCGGATGATGTAGGAGGCTTGTCTTATGAATGGGAGGGCGATACGGAAAGACCTCGATTCAGGTTTTGGGGTGGCAGATCTGGGTGTGGGACGGAGTACAGAGGAGATGACTTTGTCGACAATATTCGGTTGATAATTAATCAGGTGAGTGAAGATTTGGTGGAGATCTTTGATCTCAGGTTTGGGGTTAGCAGAATAAATGGTTGATGGTTCGTTTAGAGAGGGTAGAGATGAAGCCAGTCGTAGTTCTAAAGGGATGGTTGGAGTTGAACTGGATGAACTGATCAGTGTGGGTTGGGCTTCTGGCAGACAGCAGGATTAGATCTTTGTCTTGCTTTAAGACAAAGGTGTCGTCAACTTTTTACAAAAAAGTACCAGCAAATTGATTGAATGGGTGATGTGATAAGGTCTTGTTGTTCAAAGAAAGTTATGTAGATTTCACTTAGGGAAATCAGCTGACTCTCTCCTAGCCTAAGGGGGAAGGATTCTGGTGAGGTGTTGGGCAGTGTTATAAAAGACAATGTCTCGGAAACACACAAGTCAATGGACAAGTCTGTTTCATCACATCCCGCTACTATGATCTCATTAAGCATGAGTCACCCCACCTATGTATACTTATCCTGTTTAATTGGCTTTAATAGGAGGCAATTCATCATGCACTAAAAGTCATACCGGAACTACAGGAAACAAAGGCAGTCAACCCATCAAACTCGCTACGTGAACTTCAAGTGATCAGCTGTAGGAACTCAAACTCCAGGCCAAGCACAGTCAATAATATTCTATACGAATATACACAATTATCGGACCAAGGGCAACAGGTGGAGCTGTGTTGGATCCCGTCTCACATAGACATTCATAGAAATGAAAAAGCAGACACACTGGCGAGGCTAGCTCTGGTCAAGGCGGACATACAGCCTATTCCCTTCAGTAACCTAGAGATAAAAAGCAACATCCAAGCTTCCATAGTTCAAAGATAGCAAGCTCAGTGGGACGCAAGTAAGATAGTCAGATTGCTATATAAAATTCAACCCAAGATCCGCCAAAAGCCATAAACAAACTCAAATGAAAGGAAAGCTGAAATAGCCATCTCATGCATCAGAATCGGTCACAAAAAGCACTGTGACAAGGTGTGTCCATCTTGCAATCAACCTGAATCCATTGCTCACTTGTAACGGGAATGTCAAGGCTACGCCACAACCCGGCTCGGCTAAAACAAGAATTGCAGTTTGACCCGCTATCTGTCGTAGATCTCCTAAAGCCAAGAGATAGCAATAGCGAAGACCAAACTAACTATATTTCTGGGAGATGTACAGGTCCTCCTGTATATAAACAGAGCAGCAAAAGACAAAATGAAATTATATCAATTTTCGAAAATAGAACTTCCATCAATACGAAGAAAAGAAATTCTATGAATACCAAAACTCAATGTAGATATGTGTACCCAACTCACACATATGAGTCCCAAAGATGGAGGTCAGCCTAAATTGCTATGGCAGAAGGCGACCTCTTAAACACTTAAACCAGCAGCAGCAGCAACAACATCACCATTCAGTCTTGATGGACAACAGAAAAAATAATCTCAACCAAAACGTCGCCTTTACAGTAATTAAAGAAGTTGTTATCCATAGATAATGTCTACGTTAATAAATACTTGTATTGTATATTATTCCCTAAGCTTCTATCTATAAGTCCCTATTTAACTCATGTTTGCTCGGTCTGCAACAGATTAGCTAGAGTACACAAGTTTTATACTTAGAGAAAGTCGACACTTTCTTTTGCGCAGGAATGGTGCTTCATGTGATTTGAGATATTGGGTAAATGTCACATGTGCAATGACGTTTTGTCCTTATACAAGGAAACCATTCCAGAAAGGTTCCATATATGGCACATTGCAGGAAAACCTTTTTTCACATACATGTAAGCCTTTCCAGGGAGATAACTCTTCCGCTCATGTTGACATAGTTGTTTGATCAAGGCCCCACACAGCTTTCAAAAAGTTAACGACAAGGTGTTCGTGAATACGCTTGTCGTTGGAAACCTTTCCCAACATTAACAGTTCGCATTTAATCAGAATGGAACTTTGTTTGGAATATCATCAGTTGGTTAAAAGTCTTCCTTAACGTTATATAAGCCTATAAAATATTGTGATTCCTTTCTGCTCTAGATGTCGCCACATGAATCGCCTCAGTTAATGTAAATACCTCAGTGACAGAGGTAGAGTTAGATACCTTGGACAGAAGATCACCTAACAATTACTGTCTAAATATATCCCTATCAGAATTTGGAAAGAAATGAAGAGAAACAAGATGACCTGCAGTTCAAACAGAGCACATTCGCATGCCATAGAATAGTTCTTGAACACTCAAGAATCCAAAATCAACGAGCATGGACAGTAATACAGTATTGTGTGCTGCAAATGTGGCACACACATGACAAGAGAGTGAAAGTATTATGACGCAATGGTTGGAACAAAATGGGCTCAAATGTGGCTCGAACGTATCTCGAAAGTGCCGCAAACGTGTCACGTTTATGCCCCCAAATTAATTTCAAATCTATTGTATCAAATGTTATTAGGATTTCCCTATGAGGCAGTATTAGTCGCAAAGAACACTTGTATATTGAGCGTATGTTTGAGTGAATTTTGTCTCTTGTCATCAATATTCCAGCTATATCACGGCAGCAAACATACATGCACACAAATAAATCGTTATTATGAGATATGAATCGTAACACAGATGTGCCAACTGTGTAAAACCCAACTGCCACGCTCTAATGACCCAGGACAAACCCATTAGGTCAGGAAGAGGGTGGCGGATTCAAGGTCCAGTAACCACATGAGAGTTTATCTTTCAAACCTTTTTTCGAAAGATGAAAAGCTTGAAAGCTCCAAGCTGCTTCCTTCTTCTCTCTTCCGAAATATGGTTTAAAAAGATGGAAAATTAAATACTCATGATCAATACCTCTTCCAACCTTTTACTTCCATACATCGCTTGGGAAAGATGGACATTCTAACAGCTGTACCTCGCGTCTCACTTCCAACTTTATAGTTAATAGTTTGGAAAGCTAACATTACAGAGACGTCTGGCTCTCGTCCTTTTAAAATGAGAAAAATAGGACATACATTCTTGTTTACAAAAAATTAAATGCAATTGATTTGAACTGGTTCTGCGGTTTGTAGGCGCAATTAGTATACCCCAGCCAGCATGCCATCGTCCCAAAAATAATCTTGATTCTTGACACATACCATTTAATGGCGTACAGTGCCCGTCGGGTATTTCCGACGAGACCTTACTATTTTTAGTGAAAGTATTTCTTAAAAGGACATGACTTCTCTATTGACAAAAACAGTAAAATTCACCAAAGGGAAGGTGCGCACCCATTTTCTATATATTACGTTATCATTAAATTTATGGCATTGCCAATATTTATTTCAAAGTCATAGACAATATTTCACAAAAAGAGCCGTACCGTTGTCAAAGTGAGCATTCCCATGAAAACATTATATTGTTTAAAGTTCTATGTGCAAATATGTGTTAACTGTGTCAGCTCACAAAAAACAGTTTATATTAATTATGCATCGCGTAATATATATGTAAAATATATGTAAACGCTGTTCACAAATGATGAGCAATAATATACTTGGTACCTGTCTATTATAAGCGAGTAGACAGGCGAGAGCCAAATTGAAAATATCAATGTAATTACAGTCCAATCCCATGCCCAGAGAGAGCCGTCTTGTAACTTCGAGATATCCGGACATTCGCAAAAAATAGGCACGAAAGGGTGCATACACATGGAATTAAGAGCCCGGCACGGTTATGCGATGACAAATGTAAATGTATTTCGTTGGCAATAACCAATAATAATTATGTACCGTGCTACTTCAACCTGTCCACTGGACAAAACCAAGGTGCCACTCTCGCCTCCAGGGCCCCGTTCCACAAAGCGATCTTAGCGCTACGATCATCGTAAGCCTATGTTAAAGTATGGGAGTTACGGTCATCATAGCGCTACGATCATTGTACGCCTATGTTAAAGTATGGGATAATTTCGCTTTGTGGCACGGGGCCCAGGTTGTCAATCCACAGCTTGGATATTGCGACTAGAGGCTTTGATTCCTTTAATCCGATTTTGATTAGCACTTTTTTATGAAACCAGGAAGTGCCCGTCATGTTTTCACTCATGTCACTCACGTCACCACGATGTTTTATTTGTCATTAAAGATTATCATTTCTGTCGGATTAAAACACCAGTACATAATTGGTTGAACAACGGTAATAGTTGCATTGTACTTTCACAGTAATAGTTGATTCGATACAAAGGTACAAATACAGTGCAATGTATTTTTATCTCAATTTCGAATGTGTATGTATTTACATAGTGAGGTGGTCGAGAGCGGAGAATAGCTTCATAGAGGGGTTCGAGACAAAGAGGCTCGACTGCACTAAAAACTGAATATAATGTGCAATCTGCAACTGCTCGTCAGTCATTCATCACAAATAATGACAGTCTAAACGATTGTAAGGATATATATTTTGTTTGTAATGCATTTTCCCTTTAAATATTTTATTAATTTTGTGAATTGTCAAGTGTTACCATGACATTCCAGCTGTCTGTATCCACCAGTATCAAACAATAGAGGAGATTCCTGCGAACAGTGAGACATATATATACATGTACTCATATTCGAGTTAAAGATGAGTGAGTGAGTGAATATGGTTTTACGCCGCTTTTAGCAATATTCCAGCAATATCACGGCGGGGGACACCAGAAATGGGCTTCACACATTGTACCCATGTCGGGAATCGAACCCGGGTCTTTGGCGTGGCGAGCGAACGCTTTAACCACTAGGCTACCCGACCGCCCCGAGTTAAAGATGAGGTGTTGTCTCTAAATATGTTGTCAGAATGGTTTCTTACCAGTCCAATTACTCTGTCTGGCATATTCCTCCCAGCCAAGTCATGCAGTATATTCAGAGGTCGGTGTGCCTGAATACAAACATTCTAGTAATTTCCTTCACTTCAAAATAAAACAAATAGAAACAATCGGATAACATAATAATACATGGACGGTAACGTGTCACCAGCGATACCAAGACAGCCAAGTAGTTAAATTGGTTGCTTATCACGACAAAACATCTGCAGTGAAACATCATTGGAACTTAATATAGAAAAAAATGATACTCACCCACGTTTGTAATCCCATAATAATTACAAAATATACATTCATTTGCAATTGAAACATTGTAGAATCGTGATGAAAGCCTCACAAGGGTTCGTCATGATTTGTTGGTCTTTTAACGCAGCACTCAGCAATATTCCAGCAATATTACAGGCTCTGTCAATAATCGGGTCTGGACCAGATAATCCAGTGATTGACATCATGAGCATCGATCTAGACTATTGGGATACGATGAACCAAGTCACAAGCCTGTCCACCCGATCCCGCTAGTCGCCACGTACGCCAAGCATGGGTTGCTGAAGATCTGTTCTGGAATACAAAACTAAACCACTGTGGTTGAAACCCTGCTGATTCAAATTGCTCATTCAGACGAGGGGGCACGGGTGGCGCCGAGATTCGCTGCGCAGAGTTGCGTCCACTGGGCTCGCCAGAAACCTATGACTGTGGGTTCGAATCCCGGGTCGCCCCGGTTTTGTTTCTACTTTCTAGGTTTGTCAGCACCATACCTGTGCTCGTGGGTTTCACCGAAGTGGTAAACGTCTGAGACCTGCATCACTTCGGGCTTTCCTCCCACATTAAGCTAAAGCGTCGTGATATGACTGGAAAACTGTTAAAAACGGCGTTAAACCCATCTCAATCACTCATTCATATGAATCATGAAATCTCTTTGTAAGCATAAAGACATTCCATATACATTCAGAATGTGTGATATTCTGTCAAAGAGGGTTTCACCGTACATCTTCCACAACAACATTCTAACACTTACCGCTTCGTGCAGTCTGATACCAATGTAGGTGAGAGCGATGAGATGCTGAATGGAAGAGCAAACAGCATATGCGACAATACTCATTTTCATAAAGGACGTGTCGTCGTTGATGACGCTGTACAGGCAGAAACACACACTGAGGAAGGAGCTGACGTAGCCAGCAGCCACGTGTCTGGACATCAGGGAAGACACATGTTCCACAATGTCTGTTAACGATGCATGGTAACCTCGAATGTCCTCAATATCCTCTTCTTTGACGGACCCTTCAGATGCCCTTAACAGCCTCAGCGTGCAACGAATCATACTCGTGGGTAAGTAGAAGGGAGATGGACAAGAACAGAAGCAATAACGAATTGTTCAGCAGAGTGCCAATGCCACCAATTATCGAAGACAAGATGACATTTGACCAACCGAATTCATCGAATGTACCACCCATCATGCTGATAGATAATCCACTGGCAACAAAGATCAAAGCTGCGAAGATCACAATAAATAAACATGCTCTCTTCACCCTCTGCCTCAGTTTAGTGTTTGAAACACAACTGTTAAACTTCAACCGTGTTTCACGGAGACGTTCGCAGAATATGCGTACCTTGTTGTGGATGCTAGTACTGAGACACCAGTAGGCTAGAGACAACAAAGTAACAATGTGATTTGCTATGGTAAGACTTGTTGCAGTGAAGGATTCAGCCTTCGAATATGATCGCATCATCTGCACACAAAACAGAACGTAAAGTACACACACCACACTGGAATATATCCGGGAAGCCACCACCGAGGCGGTGTACCTTTTTGCTGACTTCGACTGCTTATAGTCCCATGATAACCCGGACAATGCCAAGAGTCTCTGGATACTTGTCAGTGTTTCCTGGACACCATCGGTATCATTGGATGTACCAACGGTAACTTGGAAAACCTTTGGCATCTTCGAACAGATTGGATGAAATTACAATAATATATTGGATATTATATTATATGTTGTGTTCTCCTCGCAGGTTGGGACTTCATATGGTTCTTTTTTTAACTCAGCGTTACCAGATTCGGAAGTAATAGTTTCCATGACGATAAATGCAACTGCGAATGTACGTTTAATACCACAAGGTGGTCCAATTGGGAATGACTAAGGCGAGCCAATATCTGCTTAACCGTGACATCATGCGTTAGCATTAATTTGTATGCGTGTAATTGTGAGTGCACGTTACTGGCCTAAGCTGTAAAAAGCCTTTAATGCACATTCTATAAAATCATCTGAACCGAATTGTCAATCAAGCTATGGCACACAACTGTTTGTAGACCAACTTTTCCACAACGGTTCTAATGGGTTCTTAATGCAGTAGCTAAAAGGACTGTTGTTATACCTGGCAATAATTGTCCACATTTAAAAACTACAGGATGCCATCCCTTTTGAAAATGTTCTGTGAGTATGACGTCAAACTTGAAGTAATATATAGAGTATTTGCGAGGTATGTGCCAACTACATATTCTCTAACAAAGCTTTAAATTTGATGTTGTGGACACTGCTCTCAGTGATCAGATTAATTGGTTTTCTGTTCCCGATGTATTAACGATCTCTATGTGGTGGGGGAATGAGTGGATGAGTGTAGGGTATTGTCGCTCCTGTTAACTACCATAACGGTCAACATTGGCTGCACGATTGAAAGCCAGCACTTAACACAAAGCTCCCGTTGTTTTTGAAACGTTGGCGCTATCACATACAATCATCTCATTGTTAGGCACGGTGCTGACAATGCCCTTATTGATTTCCATCTTGCCATGTTTTATCCACAACATCAGGGCGAATTGTTATTGACGACACTTCATTATCTCAGGATGTGCCAACTTATTGCGGGAGGAATGTCCAAAATGAAGCAAGTCGTTTCTGCCATCTAAAGTCAATGTAAATAAACAAATGAAGCATAGAACTGTACAGAAGTTATATTTTGTAATCCCTCGTGCATCATGTAAGAGTGACATGCATGTTATTATTTGTTTGTTTGTTGTTTAACACCACACCCAGCAATATCCATGCTATATGACGGCGGTCTGTAAATAATCGAGTCTGGACTAGACAATCCAGTGACTGACATCATGAGCATCAATCCACGCAATTGGTTATCGAATTGGGACATGCAATTGGGACATACATGAACCAAGTCAGCGAGGCTGACCACCCGATCCCGTTAGTCTCCTCTTACGACAAGCATAGTCGCCTTTTATGGCAAGCATGGGTTGTTGTAGATCTATTCTACCCCGGACAGGTTGCCTTTGTGAACGATGATGATATCGATAAGGTCTTAACTGCTAATGAAAATGAAAACACAATGAAAAAGACTAAATCTGACATGAATTTAGTTCACAAACTTATACAGGAAGCCTTACATGGCACAAGAAATATGGAACTATCCATACTCTTTGCAAATAGTTCATTTCCGCACGCAAATCAGATGGTTCTTGATCAGAATTCAATCCGCCTTTGAAGGGATAGGATAAGGGATACCTTTGCGACATGATTACAACATCTGCTTACGAAAACGATGCACATTGCTAAATTCAGGGAGATTATGAAATGAAAAAAACAACTCATTAAATAAACAAGGAAAAGGAAACTTACCCCAGCTGATCCTGTGTCCGATATTGAACTAATTAAAGTCCGTGAATGCCTTTGCTAATGTATAACGACGGCTGTCTGTCAATGACGAGACTATGTCGTACAAACTTGATTAAAAAACCTTTGGAACCTTTTATGGAACTTGTCTTCTTTTTTGTAATGCTAGATAGTGTGCGCTGCATAAATCAGGCAGACATATGACTGCAATAAAGTGAATTTTAAAGGGTTTTTTAACAGAACTATCATTTCACGCGTAATAATACGTTAACCTTAGTAATTCGGTTGGAGTGTGTGTCCCGTGGTTTTTTCACACGCGGGATGCTACAAAACAGCTGATTCCAGATCGGCGACAGATTTATTTTCTTGAAGCATGTCTTTCATATGACAATGGGAAAAAAAATAGAATTACCCACTCGAAAAAGCTCGGAACTAACAACATTAATGTCACTCGTGACATATTTTCCATAATCACTCGTACCTAGTGGGTTTTTCTATAATTAAGCAGCATGTTTTCCAACAACTACAAGGGGCGGTCGGGTAGCCTAGCTTTCGCTCGTCACACAGAAGACCCGAGTTCGATTCCCGACATGGGTACAATGTGCGAACCCACTTTCTGGTGTCCCCTGCCGTGATATTGGTGCAATATCGCTGAAAGTGGGCGTAAAACCAAACTCACTCACTCACAACATTACAACCACCACTATTTTAGCGTAATTAAGAAGGAGAAGAGTTTATCCGCACAGAGGGTTTCCCGTCCCGTCTATTCTATTTTGATTGATGTGTGTGTTGTCCAATGGTCATGAGTGAGTGACTATCGTTTAAGCCATTTTTAGATATATTAAATCATTATCAACGTGTCGGACACAAAGGCTAAATTGTCTAAATCTGGGGCATTGAACCCCTATCTTTGGTGACAAGCCAACACGTAAACCACTTCACTGCTAAGTCAAAGATACTGTTTGTTGATTTTCGACATGCATACAATTAAACACATCTGCACACAAATCCCCATCAGAATTGTGTGTGTATAAACTATGATACTATAGACAATAAGACATGTTTGTAAGGCAGCATCTCTCTGTCGAGATTTTCCAGGCTGCGTTGATACAAATCAACTCGTTCACTGCCATCAATGTCATTGCTATGTGGCAGTATTTAATGTTTATTCCTGATGATTGAAAGTGACAGCAAATTGACCATTATTATTATTATTATTATTATTATTATTATTATTATTATTATTATTTTGTTGTTGTTGTTGTTATTGTTGTTGTTTAACGCCGCACTCAGCTAAATGACGGCGGTCTGTAAATAATTGAGTGTGGACCAGACAATTCAGTGATTGAATCATGAGTATCGATCAAGGCATTTGGCATAAGCTACATTTGCGCTGAGGATAAAGAATGGATTACATGATATTATAACCAATTGGGAAATTCACACATGGGAATCAAATTCAAGACTTCAAGACTTCAAGACTCTTTTATTCTGTAATAAAGGCCTCAAGCCCAGAGTACATGTGTATATAATCAGGTCACAACAATTTTAAGTTACAAACAAAAATTACAATCATTAAGAAGAGATCTACTATAATCATCAAGAGGAGGTGAAGCATTCGTAGACTGTATATAGAGTTGTCTCCCTTTAACCTATGAGATAAACCTGCCTTGCCTGCGTGCATTTAACAATATAAAGTGCTAAAGATTCTGACAAAGAATTATCTGTCATAACTTTCTCAAATTTGTCGAGAGTACAAAGATTACTAGTACAAATACTTGGCAAAAGCATATTTCTGAATTTGTTATACAAGTAACATGATGTAATAAAATGAACTTCATCCTCCACAATTGATACACTCAGATTATCAAAACAATATTTACATACTCTATCCTCTCTAGCAACACCTCCCCACCGCCCAATTTCAACAGCCAGTTTGTGGTTACCACATCTGAATCGACTAAGAACAATTCTTAAATTTTTACTCTTCATATTGTGCAAATACCTTTCAGGCTCCAACACTGATTTGATAATAGAATAATTATAAAGCTTACTTGTTTCACTTATAGATAGTGCCCATGTTTGTTTCCAACAATCCTGCAACCTTTCCCTACAAATTCTAAGGAAATGGGTTATGTCACCAACATCCTGTTCAAACCAAACTAGACCAAATCCAAGTCTGTTCAACAGATATTTTATTCTAGTTGCCCATGTGGCTCTACCAGCCCCATCTAACTGATATAACATCAGATAGCAAGCCTTAGGATACCTATTTGTGGACATGTTTAATATTTTCAGCCAATACTTAATTGAATTGAACATGGTTATTACATGTAATGGATACCGTCCCAGCTCCCCATACAAGACTGCTGCTGGAGTGTTTGAATTAACATGGAGAACTTTTCTAAGAAATTTGCAGTGCACATTTTCTATAACTTGGACACTTTCAAATCCCCAAACACATGATGCATAACATAAGACTGGAGAAAACATCCTATCAAATAGAAACAAGGACTCTTTAATGTTAAGCTTAGACTTTTTCAAGAATCCAAACAAAATAAACAGAGCTTTTTCTCCTTGTTGTGCCAGGGTACTTCTTGCCAAACTCCATGAGAGCTTAGGGGTGAAAAACACGCCAAGATACTTATATCAAATCAAATTAAGCATTTATCAACTACATACAGATTACTGTGCGTTT